AAATGTGCAAATTACGCAGTGTGAAATTGTGCCCACAGAGAGCCCACTGTCCAGATTATGTATATGCAATTACTGTGTCCACTGTAAACACTGTCTATTTACACCGCATTGTTTTCTGGTTTTGACGACCGCTCAAACTGCATCACTCACACATTAATATACTGTATATTGTTGGGAGTTTTCTATCACACATCTGTCAAAGCCTTGTATGCTCAGCCCACACATCTGCCAGCAGCAATTTGGAGGTTAAAGCACGTGTAGTGGACAGTCGCAGCTGGACGTTTGAACCCACTCTACCCACTGAGCCTCCGTAGCTCCATATTGCACTGAATACTAAAACCTATGAGAATTGTTTTTTCTTCTGGTGCATTCAGGCTTTGGTGGATTTTCTGCATTAATGCACAGGGATATCAGGAACCTGTTTGCATGCTTTGGCCGTGTGGCCCAGTCCGTGAGCCGACGCTTTTCCAGCGGGGTATCTGTCCTGAAAGACTGATGACTGCTGCCACTGCTCGTCTAATGAGCTGTGCTTAATTTTGATTTGTTATGGCGATATAACACTTCGTACTTCTTCTTTGTGAATAATTAATGGATTCAGGGTCATTATAAATACAACAATCTGCTGGGAAATCATTAGCAGCAGCAGATATTCGACTACGAAAACTTTACTTTTAACAAATGAAGAGTCGAGATTTTCCCTTTTTATGTCCAGGAGACTTTGTGAAAAGTTTCCTGGACATAGACTGCAAAGACTGCAAAGAAAATCATCATTCAGTATTTGTCTGTTTTTTATAACATTGAATCAAGGACGCCCGCATGACCATTGTTTCTGGTTTGATCATGTCCCTGACAAATAAACGTTAAAAAGTTTCAGTCCTAACCTTATTATTAAAGGAGACATCTACTCTGGGTGAACTAAAAATACTGAAATGACTAAAATGAAATACCATTCCAGGCCTGCTAAAATGATATGTAGCATTGAAGATAATTGCAGAATCTATAGGGTTTGCTGATTAAAGCACAGGAGTAAAAAATAATTGCATAGAAAATATTTGAAATGGAACTGACCATCTGGTTAAAACACAGTTTCACTGCAGTGATTTCCTGCCACTCGTCTCCTATAGATGGTCCCCTGCTGTCAGTTATGCACGGCATCTACTCAAACGTGCAGCTCCTCGTCCTGCTGTGTCTGTTGGTTTTTTATAATAAATGAAATTTTACAAAATCTACATTCACGTTGTTTAGGAACAATGTTAAGTTGTGATGAAAATGTTTGCGGCTCTTATAAACCTTAAATAAAATCTATGAACATGTTTTTACACATCTCTGCACAGGCTATATAAATACCAGGTGTCATTTTACCATCTGTTATATTCAGCTTTTTAATGAGAAAATGTGTTTTATACCTATAACTCATTAGTACGTGTCCTTGCGGATATTTCAACAGGTGTTAACAAGCAGATGTCACATGACATAGGTGTGAAAGGAGGGAGAGCCACAAAAGTATCATCCTTGAAAATGGATAATAGAAATAAAAGGGAGATTCAAACAGTGACTTTGAAACCACAGTGTGCTTCCTTCTTATTTCTATTTTTAAATTTTTATGCACAATTTTCTTCAGTGACTTTATTTTTTAGATAAAATTAACATTTTGTAATACAACCTTTATTCATACAGTCATTCTAATGAATGCATTTTTTATGTTAAATTTTTATGGTACTATCAGTGCAGTAAAGATGATCTTGATCTAAAATATTATTTGGAAATAATTTTGTATTTCTGTTAACATTCCAAAGAGACATTTTTTGGCATAGAGCAGGGAGCAGTGGCTCTCCTGTGCTGCAGGGTTTGTCATCACACAGTATATAACTCTGGTAATAATGTAGGTGAACAGTAGAGCCGAGTATTAAAGTGGACAGTCTTCCTCTGTGTCCCTCTCTCCATATTTTATAAGAGATTTCAGGCTGATTCTTCAATATCATCATATTTCATGAGTGGTGAAGCCTGTGGAGGTCCGCACCGCTGTGGGGAGCTTCTCCCTCATTGGTCCCGTTCAGAGCAATAAAGCACAAGCATTTCTGACTCAATAATAAAAATTTAAAAAAGAAATTCAGTGAAAGGAGGAGTGCAGGTCCAGTCCTGTGGGTAGACGTTTATTCATGTCAGCCACCTTTCACTCAATAGTTTTGGAGCAGTATCCTAAAGCTGTGAAGTGTTAAAATGAAATAAAAAAGAGAGTTTTATTTAATTTTATGAGTCTACAAGTCAGTAAAAGTAAACATGGGGAATGTGAAAATGGCTCTGTAATGACTTGGGGTTGGATTTCTACAAAGTTCTGTTGAGTACTTGCTCCCAACTCATAAATATTGACAGATTTCTAAATGTGTCATACTGAATAATGACAATGGTACAATACAGTAACTTTCCACTTTATTTTTTTCCCCTCACCTAAACCACATTTACACCGAGTGTGAACTTTGTCTGTTCTCTGCAGATGAGCTGAAGGAGAAACTCCAGGATTTCGTGTCTGAGACCAACAGCCAGCGTCCAGGATTTATTAAGGTGGTGCGGCATTCCAAGCAGGAAGGACTTATTCGGTCCAGAGTGAGCGGATGGAGGGCTGCTACTGCCCCCGTGGTTGCCCTCTTTGATGCCCATGTTGAATTCAATGTAGGCTGGTGAGTCACTCTGACTGCGTGCCTCACATAAGATGAGCACAGCTCCATATCAGATCAATGCTTCTTGAGTCATAATGGTGTGTGGGCTTCCTGAAAAGTGTTTAAAAACACATCGTCCAGTGGTTCTTTTTCGAGAAACAGTGTTTCGTTGTCACGGTGTGAACATCATTTCCCTCATCGTACAAATACTTATATAAGAAGTGGAAAAGAATGTCTTAAAATGTGACCAGATCTCAACAGAATCATCTCCAGTATAAGTAGATATTGTTAGTGACCGACCTGATCACCACACTTGATCTCAATAAATCCCTTTTTTTCTGACTCAAAGGGCTGAACCCATCCTGCAGAGGATTCAGGAAGACAGGACCCGCATTATCTCCCCATCGTTTGACAACATCAAGTACGACACATTCATGATTGAAGAGTATCCGCTATCTGCGCAGGGCTTTGACTGGGAGCTGTGGTGCCGCTACCTCAACCCCCCCAAATCCTGGTGGAACCAGGGTAACAGGAGTGCACCGATCCAGTAAGTTGGTACAACTGACAAATGTAAGGCTGAATCCAATATGTTAAGATGTAAGTGAATATGCTATAAATAAAGAACAGAAACAGCGGCATAAAAGTGAATTATAAAGCTTTGTATTATGGACTTTTCCCTCGGTTTACAGTCATTTTAATCCCATTCCTGCAAATATCAATGAACCTGCTTCTTCTTTTCCATGTGTGTTTCTTGTCTTAGCCATGAAAAAATAAATCCTGTCCATCACCTGTGGCTGGCTCTCAGGCCAGCTTTTCTACATGTCCGCAGAAACAGACAAACTCAGCCTGCCACGTGATATATTTGTGTGGTAGTTAAATATTCCAGAAGTAAGAAATGAGTTAAAGCTATTTATTTTAAGGGTTTTGCCGTTGTGTTTGGATCAGTGGATGAAATGACCTCTGACAGAGGCTGGAGCAGCAGTGGTTTGGATTTATCCACTGGCCTGTTGACCTCACAGAGGAGACGGGGAAATCAGATCCAAAAGTGCTGTAAGCAGATGATAATGAGTTGGACCAGGCAGTCGTAATGATCCTAAGGCACAGGCGGATTAGCACATCTGATAACCAGCGAACCATGAACTCGGATATAGACAGACTTGGGGACACGCTGGAAAGAGTTTAAAAGAAAAATAGTCAGGAAAACACAGAGTGAGTTAGAACTCTGATATCTACATCAACTTTACTCTCCCAGGAGCCCCGCCCTGATTGGCTGCTTCGTGGTGGATAGACTGTACTTTGAGGAGATTGGACTGCTGGATGAGGGGATGGAGGTGTATGGAGGGGAAAACGTGGAGCTTGGAATCAGGGTGAGTACTAATGTGACAGTGGATACTTCAATGAAATGATTGTATCTGAGTATACATTGCAACATAGTCACGTGTCTTGTATCTTCATCTGGCTTCAGATTTCTCTCACACTGATAGAAATAACAAGCTCCTGGTTTCTATATTCCTAATATCTTGCCAGTATTCAAATTCCTAAAATGTCTGTATTGGAGGGAATAGACCGAATGGGTTAGTTTGCACTGACTAAAGTGAAAAATGTGCCACAAAATATTGTAAAACAAAATAGTTTTTTGGGGGGAAATATGCAGCAGTCATGGTAATGTCAGCTATCAGGGCTGGAATTGTTCAGTCACTTCTGTTTATTCTACTTTTGGCTGAATGGCGGTTATGCTGTCATCTGTTTACAACTGATATCTGCCAAGCGGTGGATTGCGCCGGTACTGTATTTTCATGACATATGGGCAAAATGGTTGTCTCACATGGGTCGGATCTTTTTAGGTCACAGGCCCAAAACACAAATGCTGGCCTGAAACTATACCAACTATACAGAGTCAAGGATGTAGAAATCACTAAAGGAGAATTTAATGTAGTAAGTCACATTATGACCTCTTATTTTATCTACTTTAAGATTGACTCAAGTGATTCAGAAGTATTAGCCATAACCTTTATCCACTGCTGGTGCCACTGAAGCACAGCCTCAGTGTTGTCAGTTACTGTCAGCAGTGATGTGTGACGACCGTTGGACACTGTTGAGAACAGATTCACTGACGCTGCACTAGATATGTAGATCAATGTTAGGTCGCTCAGGAACTTGGAATTTACTTAGTTTGCAGTCTGCAGGTAGAAAGGCAGGAGGGAAAAGCAATCCCCTCAGGGAGCGCAGATGATGGTTCAAATCTGCTGTACAAAGAGATTTCATTTAGCCATCAGCCTGTTCGATAGAAGATGGAGGGGGGAGACCACTCTACGCCTCCTCCTCTGGTTCTTGATTGCAGAGTAAGGAAGAAATGTAGACAACTTTGATTGTGGTGAAACCCATCCTCACTAATGACAGATGTGATCATCGCAGGAAAGATGTAATATTAGTCCCTTAAGTCATTTTCTGCAGAATTCACTGGCTGTTTGATTACAGGGGCCTGTTCGACGTTTCTCAGACGCCGTTATAGCCGTGCACTTTGATGATTTTATTATGGTAAGGTGGCTAAGGCTATCTGTGTGGGGCTGGAAGGGGCTTTAAGGGAGTCAACCTCTCTCCTCTGTTGCATCAACTGCCCCATGGCACTTCCATCTCAAACAGCTTTGGTTTAGAAACATTATGGTTGATGACAAGGGTTTCTACAACATCATGGACCACAAGGCTGAGGCAAGAGCTGAGAGCTTTACCGTCTCACACAGTTTATCAAGTCCCTTCAGAGAACACCTTAAATCCTTACCAACGTTTAAAAATCCTTATGAGCTAGAGAAATTGGAGACAAGACCATTAAACTCTGACATGACCTGGTCTAGAGAGTACTCTGCAATAATGTAACCCATCAGTGCTTCGACCTATGCCGTAGTGTGATGTAACTCAATTTTCTTCAAGTCAGAACTCATACTGTACATAAGTACCTATGTCACTCACTTACACTAACACTAATCCTTAGTGTGCTCTGTCTAACGGATGCCACTACAGGCCTAGACTGCTGGGTCTGCCCCATGGTGCCAATCACTCTCCATTCCTAATACTCTTTGACGTCCAGATTTACACACACATAGACACAGTAGCATGCACACGCTGTGTTTAACATAAAATCTACTGGTGTACTGGTCTGAACTTGCTGACTTTGATGTGATAACTGCTATTTTGTGGAGTTGTTTAAGTTAATAAAAGTGTTGTGCTGCCTTTTTGTTAGGACATCTCAGTCCTCCATCCTGACATATGTGGACCTCACCTGTTCCCTTTTAGCCTACAGGTTGTTGTTTTTGTTCTGTCCTTTCTCTTATTCGTACTAAATCTCCATCTGCTCTGCCCTGGAGTTAAACATCACATTAGCGCTGACATTATGCACCATCTTTACTTTAACATGGTGCCTATTTGTATGCTCTCCACACATCGTGAGCTAAGACTGTGCAACATCTGTCTCATCATCATCCTCAGTGTCTGCTGCTTGTTCTCAACTGTAAACACGTCAGATAATTTGTCACCTTCATTTCTTATTCTTCTACGCTAAACTGGACCTCAGGCTATAAAAACTGTCATTATTTCCTCCTCTGGTGGAACTTAACTTCAGAGTCAATCACCTTTACTGGAGGAATTTATGTCTGTTATGAGAGTGTGGTCCAGCCTTTCAGATATTATACCTGCTGAGTTTCTCCTTGAAGTGATGGACTGCATTGGTCCCTATTGGCCTTCTATTATTAACAGCTCTCTGTCCCGCGGTTCACCCTCTGACTATTTTGAAATTGCCAGTGTGCAACCTGTCCTCAAGAAGTTTTCAAGTGCTTGTCATTGATGGGTTCAGAAAATGTGTCAGAGGGCTTGCTACTCTGAAAAGAAATGGCAAAGATAAACATTTTGAGTAAGGCTATATTTTTAATATAGATTAGAAAAGTAAGTAAATATTTCAGACACTGAGTTAGGCTGAGGAAACTGGTGTTAAATATAGTGTGCTTAAGGCTCACTCTGATGGGAAGTAAAGTGAAGCAATTTGTGCAATGGCTATGCAGATGACTCTCAGCTCTATTTTATTGTTTATACCACCATCTCCATCCGTAGACAAATTTAAAATAAAATATAGCAAACTTTGCTCAGGACGATGTTCTGCTTTTCCACAAACCCACCTGACTAGTTTCTGTTAAATATGGAGGAAGGCAGGACCTGAAAGCAGCACTCAGGAGACTCTCTTCAAGGTGCAGAGAATTTCACAGGAGAGTCCCAACGAACAATGATCCCACGAAGATGGAGTGAGGGAGAGAGGTATATATGCACAGGGCAGCAGGGGGCACCACCTCGACTGAGACTAATGACAGAGACACAGAGATACTAAAGGAATATCCTGATTTTAAGCCCCATTTTTAATTCAGCAGCATAGTGCAAAATTAAATTCTCTTTTCCCGCTCCCTTTCTCGGCTTCCCTTTGTGTCACCCACATCTGCCCTTACTGACCGCCCAGCTGTTTTCCAATAACCTTTCTCCAGCTTCTCTTCTACTCATATGAAAGTAACCATAAACCACTGTTCTAAGTACCTTGGTATTAACGTTGATTTTGGCAAAGCCTGTTGCCTTATTGCTCTGTTTCTCTGCTTTAAGTTATTGACCTTAGTGTTGTTTTCCCATCTCATTCTGTTGTGCTGAGGGATTGTGCCCTCGCCTGTTCGTTAATGTTGTTAAGAGTCCAGTAATGCTTTTAAAGCACAGAGAGCTGAGAGCTACAGGACAGGAAGATCCTGCCTTGAACTTTGATTTACAGACCCAGAGAGCCCAAGGAGAGGGGCTGTGAAGAGGATAATTTCATCTGTCTGCACATGCGTCATGCCTCTAGACCACCTGCCAGCATAAGACTGGCTGTTGACTGATCCACAGAGACATTTGAACTAGGCCAACAGCTCAGGCTTTGGCCGAGGCTTGAAAGGGCTGTCCTGGGTGTTGTGATGGCCAAATGAAGTGCAGCCCTCTGCTCACATGTGGTCATAAAGTGTAGAAGGAACAGTTCAGCCGTGATATACAGAAGCTGGCCTTTTAAGCCGACAATGCAATACAAACGAAATAGTGAAGAAAGCAGGTTTGGTTTTACTGCTTTTGTTTAAATGTATATTATTATTCCACATATACTGTATTATGTTTATTATTACTATTATTATTATTGTTGTTATTGTTGTTGTGGTTGTGTTAGTTGTGGTTGTTGTGGTTGTTGGTGTTGTTGTTGTTGTTGTTATGTGTTTAAACTGATTAACAACACCAGAAATAGTAGCAGTAGAATTACTCAAATTAATTAAAAAGTTTTTGTAAAAACTATTTTCATCTTTCATCTTTCATCATTACTAAGACCAAGTTAAAAAAAATCCACAAACCAGGCTAATCATTGGAAAAAAATAAAATGCAATTTATGTCATGAGGAGTTATTGTTTGAATAACAACAATGATTCAGGCTGTAACTGCAGCCCTGCTGAATTCTCAGCCCGACACAACAATCAATGAGAACTCTTTGTCTCAAACAACTAATGTGAAACGTCTAATGTGGCCCTTTCCTGTAGCAATGAATAACAAGGTGTTCACACACAATCAGAACTGATTACAGGGATACAACACACTAAATGTTATGGGGGCAGTAATGGCACCAGGGGATGGTCTAAAGGCACAGTCGTGATTTTATAATTTTAGGAGAGTTTACAATCATATACAGCTATGGCATTCTACAACTTTTTTTTATTTTATTTTCAATTCTGTTAACTTCTGTCGCAACATAGCTCTGTTCTTGCTCAGTTCATTATATGTCTATGGGTTGGACAGTATTTCCTGTTGTTTTGCCAATTTGCCTTTTATACACTGTCATATTAACAGCTTCCATACAAACCGATTTAAAAACATAAAGTGACCAGTGTGAGATATTTATCACTGGTTCAAGCCTATATGTAAAAGTCAAAGATGAGGGGAGGTAAAGTTGATAAGAACGTTCATATGGACATTTTATAAAAACTAAACTAATTCCATTCTCACATTACAGAACACAAACTGAATGAACTTAGTAGACACGACTATGTACTGATTCTACATTACTGTACGCATTCAGTTCGATATAGTGCAACATATTTTGTTTTTAGCTTTGTCACAAAAAAAAGTTTCTGGCTCCACACTACTCCTTGCTGCTACTACCAACTTTAAGGTAAAAGAAAAAGAAAAGAGTTTGACTAAATAAGTCATGTCCCTTGTTACCAAGATTTTCACTCTCGGTGGATCCAATTTTGCAGTAACACAGCAAAACAGTGCAGGATGTTGTTGAGACAGCCAGCTTTTATTTGCTAATAAGTGCCTCTCTAGTGGC